AAAAATCACAACTGAACTGTGAAAAATTACAACTGAACTATTTCAAAAATCACAACTGAACTGGGTCAAAATTACAACTGAACTGTGTCAAAAATCACAACTGAACTGTGAGCCTTCTGTGCCATCATACAAATGTCATAATTTTGTATCTTTTTTATGAATCTTTGCAAGCCTACATGTAGGATTATTAATGGGACTGTCAGGGAAACCTGCTGGAGGGTGGGAGATATAATGTAAACTGCAATATGCATGGCCTACTCTTACATACAGTGTACCATCCCAGCAAGCTAAGGGGGCATTGGTTGTCATACATTCAACAGGCACAATACTCTGTTCCCAGAGGTTTTCTTTCCCCTATTTTTTCAACACACGTGTCAGAGTCATAAAGTAGAGGAGTACATGTAAGTCTTTCAGAAATGATTATCCCTTGCGTGGGACTCCCCTCACTGGCTTGTTTACTTCAGTAAAGTGAAGAAGCCGCTGTCACCAGGGTTATAACACTCAGAGCAATGTGAGTAGATTGAGGTATAATGGCACTTTCAGAATAAATTATAAAGATGTAAATAATTATATAACAGAAACTGATACAACAAACTTCAGAATAAAATAGTCATTATCAGTATTAAAATATTTACTGCAAGTATAATCTTTCTTAATAGGTAAAAAACTGAGACTGGCTGATGGAGTAAGAAAAGCTGAAGGAAGAGTAGAGATATTTCATGATGGCTACTGGGGTACTATTTGTGACGATTATTGGGATATCAAAGATGCACAAGTCGTTTGTAGGGAACTCGGGTATCACGATGCCGTTGCTGCTCCCAAGCGTGCACTTTTTGGTGAAGGAAATGGTCACATATGGCTGAGTAATATTCACTGCTTGGGCAATGAGAGTTCGATTGAAGATTGTGAACATGCAGAATGGAATGCTAACAGCTACTGTTATCACTTTGAAGATGCATCAGTCATCTGCTCCAATGAGACTGGAAGTTTAGGTAGGTTAATGTTTTTACTCCCAGTATTAAAATTTGGTTATAAGTGGGACATTTTTGTGATGCCCAGACAGGTGGATTCCTTATTCTCTTATTTACTTCCTTACACTGTACAGTACCTTGACCATGCCCAAAGCACAACTGGTTGTGACACGTATCCAAACACCTAGCCAAAAGAATCATTATGGTTAGGTATTTCAACCAAAGTGCATTGGTCAGTGCATGGTTAAGTGTAATGGGCTTCTAAGATGATAGAGTTATGATTCTGGTCTTCACACTTACACACAGATGTTTCCATCACTGTAGTTCGTCGGCGGGATTACAACCTGAATTTAAACTCTGATGAGCCAAAAAAAATTTTAAAAGGTTTTGTTTTGAATGCCATAGCCACTGTCTTAAAACTACTATAAGGGTAACAAAGAATGAGATTAAAGTAATATTATTTCATGTTATTGCAGACGCTGGTGATTTCGTGATATTTTGTGAATCTGGTCGAACACTGTGCCACTTCATCCCTCTCCCCCATGATTCTCCAGCAAAGGTAATCCCACTGAAGGTTGCATTTGAGTATGCTCCAGCAGCGATATCCTACGATCCAAAAGAGAAACAAATATACTGGACTGATGATTATGGAAACATCTATCGATCTTTCTTAATTAATGGATCACAAGAAGCTGTAGTAAGAGGCGTGAGTTCTCCAATGGGTATTGAAGTAGATGTTATTGGAAGGAATGTCTACTTCGCTGACAGTTATGACAATAACATCAGAGTTGCCTCACTTAATGGCAGTTATCAGGCTATCCTTGTTGATGTGCAGAATCCTCAAAGCATTGCTCTGGACAGTGTTGATGGGTAAGGCTTAGTCAAGTCCTAAATAGTATGCTGTCTTGAGGTCTACACGTATATTAGAGAATATGTTCAGGTCGATCAATTTGCAAAACAATATTCCATAGTGCGGAGCAATCTTGCTAACTCTGTGACATTTTGGTGTAGTTCACTATTTAATATTTCAGGCCAACTTCAAAAATATTTGACGCATTTTGAATTCTCGTGCCATACATAATGAAGACTTACTTCTTACTTCAACATCTTTTTGAAAAGCCATGATCTGGTTATACATTAATACAGCCTCCCATCTGGCCAAGAGCGACAGGAGACGGCTGTATTCACAGGCTGATTGGGAATGAATTCCCATTACTTAACATGGTCCAAAAACCAACTTAAGTCCATAATTTAGTTATTCAGCTAGGTGCATTTTAGTTTCTAAGTTAGTTGAAGTAGCACATATAGTAGAAGCTAATGGAGAAAAAGCAAGAGTCCTTCAATGCCTGGAAAGAGAGAGTCCTTGCACAAAATTTGATTGAAACGTTCGTGTTTGGTGCCGAAGTCTATATTATTCAACACACCAATACAATGCTGACAATTTGCTGCGTGCCTTTCTATACCCTTCAGTGCAGCCGGTTATTATGTTGTACACAATATTTCATGTGGCAAGTGTTTTGGCTTTGATTGGCAGATTTCAACTTTCTACATGTAGTTTGCAAACAAAGCTGTGATGATCTGTAATACCTTTTATTCTTTGGTTAAGTGTTGAATGTCTTCAAGTTTGTGTGATTTTGAAAGGTGCATGTAATGTTCCTTTGTTTATTTCCAGTTACGTTTTTAATTAGTGTGTAACTGTCTCTAACTTTAGCTTCATTGCTAAACATCTTGCTGTTGACGCTATCAGATTGCACCCTATTGGTTTTGTTTTCTTGTGATACACAGGCACATGTATTATTCATCACTTGGAGATAGTCTTCAAATATACCGAGCAGACATGGACGGCAAAAACCAAATGCTCCTAGCAAATTTGTCATTTGTTGGAGATGATACATTTGTTGACATGGTTCTTGATAAGCTCAACAACCGTCTATTCTTTTCCGACCAAAGCCATGATGTGATACGGTATATTAATCTGGCCAATATGGAGATTCGCACTATCCTCTCTGGAAACCTTCACAAACCAACAAGTCTTGCCATATTGAATGACACTCTTTATTGGACTGCTGGGGGTGATGGCACGTTTTCAGGGGCCATCTTTAAAGCAAACTTAACGGCTAACAGCGCTACAGTACAAACAATGGCTGATGGTTTTGGGACACCAAAAGGGATATACGCATACAATTCTATGGCAGCTGAAACAACAGGTAGCTAAATAAAAACATTTAACACAATGCTCTTTTCTTGTCATAGGAAATCATCAAATATCAGGTAATCAAATGCCAAACAAAATGCAATTTATTTTTTATGGGAGAGTAATGCAATTTAAAAATTTGAAAAGTTGAAAATGAATTGTTTATGTAAGACTAAACAGAAAACTGACTAAGCTTTGCCAGATAAAGGTTCACTAACTGTGAATTTGGACTCTTTTTCAGTGCAATCTCCGTGTCAGGATAATGGTGGATGTTCCCAGTTCTGCGTCTTGAATCCCAATGGTCGAACTTGCATATGTGGAGCTGGAATGAAACTTGCCAAAGATGGAATAAGCTGTAAGTCTTTAAATCTTGTTGTATATATTGTTGTTAAACTGTGAAATATATCAAGTGCTGTGTTAGCTTCACCAGATCTCATGTAGGTGGAGAGTGGCACTCTGAGACTAAAATGCCTTGGTCGAGCACAAAATGTAAAGAGAGTTTAAAGTGTTTTTTGGGGATTGGGAACTCCAGGTGTGTCGTGGTATGTATTCCTGTGGTTAGAGGCCCTTTTGGGTCCCTTCCACCATTGAACTGTCAGCGGTTTTGGTTGCTGGGTTCCCAGTCTTAGCAACAGTCAGTGGTCTTCTCGGCATCTTGGGCTTCCATTGCATCGTGCTCACCAGGCAAGTGTTTGTACGTTCTTTGTGTTTTTCCCCCTCCCAATCCTCCCTAGGGGATTCTTTACTGTATTTACTGAAATTTTTTATCAGTATTTATGGGTTATTATTTTACGTTTCCTCTGAAATTGTTGTTCAGTGTGGTGCCCGTGTTCTCTGCAGTTGTGGGGGGCTTGTGGCTGAGTTGCAGGCAGTGCCTGGCCTGTGGGCAGTCTTACATGTACATCATGGGGCTGGGGTTACAGTGTTAGTGTTGTGTGTGTTTTCCCTGGGGACCTAACCTCCACTTGCAACAAATGTTGTTAAATACTAGTAGTGCAACGCTTTCAAGTAGTATACTGTCATGTGTGCGTCATCGTTAATCACCTTGCAAAGTTGAAAAGTATTTGTCAATATTGCTAATATCTTACTAGTTATATACTGTCATGTATTTAATTTATTTCATGTCGAATTACAATATTATTATATAGTAATGAGTGGAATATCCCATGAGCCATTTGTATTTACTCGGTACACACACGAGCCTTAATGTGAGTGTGTATACCACGAAAATAAAAGTTACAAGTGAGATATCCCATGGTATACCACGAGAGAGCGTTGCATAACTATTTTATAGCATTCCATAGAAAATACAGCGGCCAACACAATCAATGCGACATACACGCGGAGCATGATGGGAAAATTGGGTGTAATACCGCCAAAGATACGACGGCTTTCCTATATTCTGATTGGCTGTAGTTTCTTTTGCATGGTATAAATGTATATATCTGATATTTTTCATTTAGAGGAATGCTTTCTTCAGCATAGTAATTTTCAAGTCGTTATTTGCAGGCACTATTGACAAGCCTTAACGTGAGTGTGTGTACCATACCATGAGCTGTTTGTATTTACTCGGTATACATGTACACACAAGCCTTAACGTGAGTGTGTATACCACGAAAACACAAGTTACAAGTGGGATATTCCATGGTATGCCATGAAACTATTTTATAACTATTTTATACCATGCCATTGAAAATGCAGTGGCCAACACAATCAATGCGACATACGCGCAGCGCATGATGGGAAAATTGGATGTAATACCGCGAAATATACGATGGCTTTCCTATATTCTCATTGGCTGTATTTTCTATTGCATGGTATATATCTGGTATTTTTCATTTAGAGGAATGCTTTCTTCAGCATGGTAATTTTCAAGTCGTTATTTGCAGGCACTGTTGGTGATGTGATATTTGTTACTGACTCCTATCACAATGAAGTATATTTCTCACAACTGTCGGAAAGCATTCTTGTTCCCCTGTCATTTTCAAATATCGAAAGTCCAACTGGCATAGCCTTTGATCCATTTGAAGATCGCGTTTATTGGACTGATTCCAAACTTGGTATTGTTTACCGGTCCACATTTGATGGCAAGAACCAGGAGATCATTCGTTCCAATGTTACAGAACCCGTGGGCCTCGATTTAGATCTTGTGGCAGGAAATGTATACTGGATAAACAGTGGTGATAGGACCATTGAAGTGTCAAAGTTGAACGGCGATTATTGGAAAGTAGTAGTTTCTGAGTTGGCTTCCTCTCCAGTAGACATTACTTTGGATACAACTAAAGGGTAGGAATGAAGTCACTTTCCCATAACTTATTATATCACATACATACATTCATACATGGTTTATGTTTCTGATAAAGCAGGTTGAAGAATCGGCAAGACGTTAAGTCCTGATGTGGACTTGCATTATCGAAAATGATTAATTAATAAAGTGAAAATGGGTGAATAAATAATGATAATTTAAATAAATAAATATTAATGACAATATATAGTAAATATTAAAAATATTTAAAGTCTAAAGATTTGTTGGAAATGCTGCAAGAAGCTTTAGCAAAAGTGATAGATTTTAGAATGCTCTTATTTTCCTTAAGTTTTTCCTTGAAAGAAGCCAGGTTTGAACAGTTCTTGATGTCATCAGGAAGGAGGTTCTAGGATAATGCAGCTCTATGTTTAAAGGAAGTTCTTCCCACTTCTGTTTTTGGTCTATGAACCTCAACATTTAATAACCTTCTAAAATCATAAGTAGTCTCAGCTTTCACTATTGAGTCGTTTAGGGGTTGGATGCATTTGTGCATGGATTTGTTTTCACCAACAGTTCCATGCAAAAGCACCACTAAAGGAGTACATTTTTTCCAGGGCCAATTTGTTACATGTACATGTATTTTATGTGAACTAACATATTGTAGAAGACGTGGCACAAATGCTAGAAGGCATGTTCAACTGAATTAGCAAGTGGATCTTGGACCAAGGCTAGGGTGAAATATCCAACTTCACATGAGTAAAACTTGAAACTGCAAAAAACCTAATATTTATTTTTAAGTTGGATATTTGATCATGTGCTATGATTTTCCTGACAACAGCATAAGACTGGATTCTTGCAGACCATACAATGTAATGCCAGACTTTTCTTTTCTGTTAGTTTATTGAGCTACAACCTTAAAGAACTGTACAAAAAGTCATGTAACTATGGATCAACGTTCTCCCTAATATTTTTATGGTATATTTACTGGTTGGCTAGTACAGCCGAAGCTTGTGAATGGTTTCCACCAATACTACACTTTTTTAAAGTGTAACACAAAACATGACACTGGCACTTCATTCATCTGCTATCTGTTTATCCTTTAGGTTCATGTATTGGTCAGCTGAAGGAGTCATTGAACGAGCGGAACTGGATGGGTCAAATCGACGTAAAGTTACTGAACTGGGAGTGACTTGGTATGGGGCCACTATTGATGCGAAAGGCCTAACGCTGGATGTTGACAACAATCGACTCTATTTTGTGAGCTACCATCTGTATTCTCTTCTTTACATTGATCTGAGTTCGACTCAACTCCGCCTCCGCCCAGTTCATACTCTAATTCAGCAGTTCTGGTATTTCTATGGCCCATTTGGAATTGCTGTGGATGACCAGTATGTTTACTGGACTGAATATATAGTTTATGGATATGTCTTTCGGAGAAGTAAGAACTTACATGATGATGATGTTGAGGTTGTAATTAGCGGGACTTACGAACCCAAAGGAATTGCAGTTAAAAAAGGCAACTTTACCCAAGACAGTAAGTATTTCTGTTGTAAATATTGATTTGAGTTTCTGATATACATGTACACCCTCCTATCCAAGGGACTTTAACAACAATGCAAAAAGTGTATGGAAAGACAGTATCAAGTAATATCTACACTTTACATGTACATGTACATGTACAGGTGCATGTGCCATGTAACAGAAAATTTCGAGAAGGTTTTGTAATAGATCAAAATGGAATTCTTCATGTGTGCATATCGAAGGTTTAAGGGATTGGAATTAGCATTGTTTAGTAAAATGAGAAAAAATTCTTTGTATGAATGCAAGTGCAATCGAGAATTTGCATTACGAGTGATAATTTTTTGAAAATCTTTTAAATTGCACTTGCCTAAAGGCTTGTGCAATTTGAAAGAATATTATTTTCAAATATCACTTGTGGTGTAAAATTCTTAATTGTTCAAGTTTTCATATAATTATATTATTACTCACTTACTCTATGACTGAGAAAATTGCGAACACCTGGCACTAATTTGCACTGCAGTGCAAATTAGGAATTAACAATTATTAATTGGCCTGCCCTCAACCAATCACAATGAAGTAATTTTCTCCTCAGTCATGTAATAAATGTATTTAACACTGTGTTACATGTAATTGGTGACACTGCAAATGCAATGTACATGTATTACAATAAACAAATATTGTAAACAAAACATAAACTGTTAAGAATCCCAGTTGGTGGGAGGCTGACCCGTTGGCTTGACAAAAGGCAGCAGAGGAATTGAATTTGGGACTACAGAGAACAAATCCAGATGGTGGTAGAATGGAGGATTTGATCCAGGGATCTTAAACCACTTGACCACACTGCCTCCCTTAGAAAATACTGACCTCTCAGAGTTACATATTAACTAAAAATGTTTTATCCGAATATCTGTTACATTTACATGTACAGTATGATTTATTATTCCATATTTTGTTATGTTTAGATCACTCATGTGCTGACAGTTGCAGTCACCTTTGTCTGTTGAAACCTGGTGGTTACAAGTGTGCATGCTCAGTGAATGAGTCTGCCATGCCATGCAATGAGAGCACTCATGTTACCAGTAAGTTGCTTAGCTTTCATGTATTGCACACCCTGCTCTTTGCTTTTCAGTCTCTTCATTCTTGATATGGCTCAATGACTTCCCAATTTCAAAAATTATCCTTGTCCTAATTATTGACTCACTGTTATCTGTCTGTTTTTAACCTTTTGGTTTCTTAATTGGTCTATATTTTGTCGCATTATGGACCACAAATGAGGACTGCTTTTGATTAGAAAAAAAGAACTGTTCTTTTGTAACCTCTCTTAGTCTTGTAGTATAATCTTACAAAATGAGTAACTAGTCAGACCAGTATTTCCCCAATAAAGATCTCACCCTACTTAAACAATGTCAATGTAATTGGAATTTACAATTTGCATCCCCAGTATTTGGTTGTACAGAAGATCCCAGTCTATATTTTATTGATGACCATCACATCAAATGCATTGAGCTGACAGCCTCCAACCAAACCTATGTCAGTGTGAAGACCTTGAAGTCAGATCTTGTCCAGGGTGGTGCAATCGACGTACACTATTGGGGGAGGATGATATACTGGAGTGACATTGCCCTGTGGACTATAAATAGAATGAGTTTAGTTACTGGTGAAACTGAGGTAAATACATATGGATGTTAACTTATAGTACACTAACAATTATAAGATAAAAGTATACATAAAGTTTATGTACAGTAGATTCTTGCCTCTGGTTAGTTTATACCATTCATAAGTATATTTTTCCTTCTTTGTTAGATACCTACCTCACAGCTTTGTCAAAACTGAACAGATTTCCATCATACTATTCGAAGTAGATTCCCAGTGGTTTTATCCCTTTTGTTGTCTGCTTCAATACAAAATATTAAGTGAAAGTTCATATGTAATCGGAAATTGTTTTCCCTTTGATTTGTCTTCCCCTTACAGAGAGTGTGTGGGAGCAATGTGACACGTCTTTTTTCTGTTAGCTAATCAGTCTTTAAATCCATTGATAAAGGTGATCATAAGAGACGACCTGGGGGAAATTTATGGACTGGCCGTTGAATGGGAAAGTGAGAAGATTTACTTCACTGATTTCATCTTTGAGAGAATTGAGGTAGCAAACCTTGATGGCTCGTTCAGAAAAACATTGATTACAAGAGATTTGTACAGCCCCCGTGGGATTGCTGTTGATCCAAAGAGTGGGTAAGTTGTAGGGTTGCAAGTGGTTAATACGAGATGATGCCTTCGGTTATAATTGGGACACAGGCATTAATTGATTAATAGTTAATTAATTGTAGGACCCATTTTTATTCTGAGATAAAGTAGGGAGAATCCAAGCCACAGGCAAAGGTTATGTCAGCCTTTCTACGAGGTGATCTTTTCACATTATGATAATTATAAAGACTTAAACGGATGTCCGATTGCTTTTGTGAAATTGCAATGTTTGAATGGAAAAGAATTCTAAAGTCTGACATTATACCTAATTCTTTAAACGAACATATCTGGTTTGCTACAGAAAAAACTTTTATTGGCACAACACAGGACTTGTTCCTCTCGGTAGATTTGGTAGCACTCAGATTCCCTTCGTCTGTTTTTTCATGTTGGACTGTTGTTGTGTTTTGTTGTGTTTTCTTTTTGTCCTTTATTTGTGTGACGTTTTCTTGTTTCTAATTGTATGAAACATAAATATTACATTATATTTTATATTTATTTACAGTATATGCAATTTATATTTCTTACATTTTATTGTGACTATTGAAGGTACATGTTCTGGACAGACATTGGCTTTGATTCTCCAAGAATAGAACGAGCAGATTTAACTGGTGAAAATCGCAGGAGCTTAGTTTCCTTTGGAGTTGACTGGTATTACGCATGGTTCCCCATGAGTGTGGTCGTTGACTATAATCATGATCCTGATCGCATTATCTGGATGGATAGATACGACAATTACATTGATTACGCAGACTTAGATGGAACTAACAAGGACAGTTTGGCTCATATTACACAAAATATGCGTCCAGTTGATCTAGCTTTGTATGGTGATGTTTTATACTGGGCAGACAGGAACAGTCGCAGTATTCAGTGGTTTAACACGACACAGCCCACAGGCCTACATTTTAACTATGGTCATCTTACAGATGGTCAACTTGCGGGTGTTGTGGTATCTGATGAATCGAGACAACCAGTTGGTAAGTAGATTTCATATGATGCCATTGTACTTCTCTTTTGTTAGCTTATTATGATCACTAAGAAGTTGCAAAAAAACTATGAAGAAGCCAGCCTAAAATTCTGCTTTGAGAAATTGTTTCCGTGATGCCCAATAGTTCACATGCAATTTTCTAAGAAATTTTTAAGTAACACTGGTAGTGTAAATCCTAATTGAAGTCGCATTCATGAGTACAATTACCTATACTAGTTAGTGGGCATTTTAGATTTAGATTTCCTAAGAACCTCAAAACCCTTAAGGAACCAGGAACACTGATATCACTTATATATGCTCACTGTGCATCAGTATCCAAGGCAACTGATTGTCCAAATGTAGTTTCTGATTTCTGTAAATGCATTACTAGCTCAAGTCTTTTCTCTTAAGCTTCACCGCTGAACAGACCTCTTTGTCGTATAAACAACGGTGGGTGCAGCCATCTCTGCTTATTGGCTCCTGGTGGAGGAAGCAAGTGCGCATGTCCAAATGGAGTTGAATTATTGCCTGGAAATAAGACTTGCAGTAACGGTAATAAATGACATATATATTAGTTTGTTGAAGAGTTTTAAATGCTTGATAGGTAGTCCTTCCAATTGATGCTGTATATACATGCATGCCAACTGTATTTTGACAAACTGAAGGGCAGAAGGACAACTTACAAATGCTATATATTTACCTTGCGACGAATAGGCCATTTTACAGTTGTGTGCTCAGTTACCTGGCCTATGAATGCACACGAGGCTATAGGTGACCTTTCTTTGGTACAAACCTCTTTAGCTTCAGGACAACTGATTTACACAACAAAAGCAGTGAGGTCTGTATCAAAACAAGGAAACCTCCAGCCTCACTGCCATTCAAAGATCAGGTCACTGAGCAGACAACTGTAAAATGATCTATTAACGCCACAACCTGCTCACATCTGGCCTTGTGATTCAGTTGGCAGAGAAAGCGTTATCTTATCCGTTTAACCCACCGAGGTCTTTGAAGTTTTCTTTACCTTGCATAGTCTTATGTTTCCTTGGTTGATTTTCAACATTCCAAACTACTTGAAGGTTTTGTTTTTCTGCTTGCCAGCTTCTAATATCAGTGCTACCTGGCACAACATTGCTTTCAATCTTTTTTACTGTTACAATCAGTGGGATACTAACCTTTGTTTCACTATATGCACTGAAAACATGAAAGCTAGCAGTTTGGTTAACCAAGGTTTGCTCATCAACCCTGCATATGCAGACTTGTATTCTCTTACCACGACTTGACGGTTTACAAGTACATAAAATTACTACATGACGTGTGCACAAAGGATTTCTAGATAGCCTGCAAAAAGCCAGAAAACGATAACCTTCAACAACAGTTTTCAAATTTAAATTTCTTGTGTTGCTTTCACATGTGATATTGACTGTTATTTCTCTTTTTCAGTGACCAAGCCACAACCGCCACCAACACCTGTACCAGGTGAACTGTTTTTNTAAACAGTGGTGATAGGACCATTGAAGTGTCAAAGTTGAACGGCGATTATTGGAAAGTAGTAGTTTCTGATTTGGCTTCATCTCCAGTGGACATTACTTTGGATACAACTAAAGGGTAGGAGTGAAGTCACTTTCGCATAACCTAAGCTTTTTTTATTTTTAAGTACGGATTCGTTCTTACCAATAGTTCCATGCAAAAGCACCAATAAACGAGTACATTTTTTCCAAGGCTATGCTTAATGTCACGTTGTTGTTTCTCCGTTAGTATGTTATTCTATGTGAAATAACATAGTGTAGAAGACATCGTGCAAAATAATGCTATAGAAGGCACCCTCTTTTGAACTACATGTAGCAGGTGGATCGTGGACCAACGCTAGGGTGAAACGTCCAACTTCACATTAAAAAGAAGTAGTGAAATTACAAGAAACCTATTTATTTTTAATTCGAACAGTTGACCTTGACATCACAAAAGCATAAGACTGAATTCTTGATGACCATAATGCCAGACTTTTCTTGTAACTGTTGGTTTACTTAAAAACAACTAACAATGGATCAAAATTATATTTCTCCACTTGCTTGGCCAGTGCAGTAGAAGTTTGCAAACGTTTTCCACCAATACTGACGTACCTGGATAAGTTTAACACGAAACATTACACACTCGCTTCATTCGTCTGCTATCTGTTTCTCCTTCAGGTTCATGTATTGGTCAGCTGCAGGAGTTATCGAACGAGCGGAACTGGATGGGTCAAATCGACGTGTAATTGCTGAACTGGGAGTGACTTGGTACGGGGCCACTGTTGATGCCAAAGGCCTAACGCTGGATGTCGACACCAATCGACTCTACTTCGTGAGCTACTATTTGTATTCTCTTCTTTACATTGATCTGAGTTCGACTCAACTCAATCTACGCCGAGTCGAGACCCTAATTCAGCAGTTCTGGTATTTCTATGGCCCATTTGGAATTGCTGTGGATGACCAGTATATTTACTGGACTGAATATATAGTTTTTGGATATGTCTTTCGGACAAGTAAAACCGTACATGATGATAATGTGGAGGTTGTAGTTCACGGAACTTACCATCCCCAAGGAATTGCAGTTAAAAAAGGCAACTTTACGCAAGACAGTAAGTATTTCCGTTGTAAATATTGATTTGAGTTTCTGATATACACTCTCCCATTCAGGACACTTAAAAAACAATGCCAAAAGCACATGGAAAGACAGTATTAAGTAATATCTACAGGCCTACACTTTAGGTATAGTTTTTTTGTGTGTGTGTACAGATAATTGAAGATTCAATTTGTGGAGGTTACCGGTAGATCAACAAAAGAGAATTTTTTATGTGTGTATGTACATGTAGAAAGTTATTGATAAATAGATTGGGATTGAGCATTGTTGAGGATTTAGTTTTGTTTTGTATTGTTACTTACGTCTAATAGTTACTATAAAATTTAATTCTTTATCCAATATCTGTAAATCGTGTATGTGTTATTCCTCTTTTGTTACATTTAGATCACTCATGTGCAGACAGTTGCAGTCACCTTTGTCTCTTAAAACCTGGTGGTTACAAGTGTGTGTGCTCAGTGAACGAGTCTGCCATACCATGCAATGAGAGCACTCATGTTGCCAGTAAGTTGCACAGCTTTGAGGGATTGTGCATCAGGGCCATAGCCAGAGAAAAATTATGACTGGGGGAAGTTCTTCGGTTTTCCTTTCCCTAGCTATGGCCCTGCACATCCTACCCTTTTCAATTTCATCAGTCTTAATCTGTCTCAGTCTCCCAGTGTCAACAACAATACTTATAGATCTCCTTTTGAATCAATGTTATCTGTCCGTTTTTTATAACCTAATTGGCTCCTTAATTGGTCTACATTTTGTTGCATTACAGATTACAGTGAGGACTGCTTCTCATTAAATAAGAGAACTGTTCTTTTTTTGTAACCTCTCTTTAACGTAATAGGGTTGTTGTATAATCTTACAAAATGAATAACTGCACCAGTATTTCCCCAATAAAGATCTCACCCTACTTAAACAATGTCAAGAATGTAATTGGAAATTACAATTTGCCTCTTCAGATGTATTTGGTTGTACGGAAGATCCCAGTCTTTATTTTATTGACGAACATTACATCAAATGCATTGACCTAACAGCCTCTAACCAAACTTACGTCAGTGTACAGACCGTGAAGTCAGGTCTTGTCCAGGGTGGTGCAGTCGATATACACCATCAAGGAAGGATGATATATTGGAGTGACAACGCCCTGTGGACTATAAATAGAATGAGTTTAGTTACTGGTGAAAGTGAGGTACATATTTATCTGTGAACTTATAAAGCGATAACAGTCTGAGAAGAGTGAAAAACGTCTTGCATAGGTTTCCGAGGGGTGGTAATCAGGGTTCCATATGAGTTTTCAAGGTTGGGTGTCAACGAAAAAATTCGAAGTAGTCAATTCCCACTGCTCCCACCAAATCATTACAAATTTTCTATTAATTTGTCAGGTCATGTAGGCTTTTTGACCTAAGACCCCACTGGGTACTTACTGGGTATTCCCAGAAGAATTGGGTGGGGTGGGGGTGTGCAGCCCACTCCCTAAAATCCTTAAGACCAAAATCTGTGATTTTCCCTACCGGCCTACTTATGACCTGACTTTATTTAAGACCTGACCCTTAAATCAATACCCTGGTTCAGACCCGCCCGATGATTAGTTCCCTTCAGACCAATGTGAAAGCATTGTGAAAGGCTTTTGTTGATGGTCTTATCAATAATGATGAAAATGTAGTTCTCTCTAAAAAAACAAACATACCCATTTCAATACTAGAGTGCAAAGACCATACCCTATATGAGACCAAAATGGCCAAAATCGATACCTTATTTCTGACCACAACCACTAAAAAATTAAACCATACCCTTTGGGGCTGCACATACTGTACCTATGTAGCCCATATAGGGTAGTGCCCACCTGGGCATTGGTTTAGTTTATACCATTTTAATGTCAAGTGTAATTTTCCTTTTCAACGAGATACGATCATTGTTTGAAGTTCGATTTCAAGTGCTTTAGATTTGTTTTGCTGTTTTCCATTGTGAAAATCTTTGTTGTTGTTTTGGCTTCCACTGCTGTGTTGTTTACTTCAATGTGGAATAAGTTAAAGTAACCTGAACTCGTTATCCGTGGAATTTCTCTGCGATAAAAATGTCATTTTTATTTTTAGTTAATCAGTCTTTTAATCCATTGATAAAGGTGATCATAAGAGACGACCTGGGGGAAATTTATGGACTGGCCGTTGAATGGGAAAGTGAGAAGATTTACTTCGCTGATTTCATCTTTGAGAGAATTGAAGTGGCAAACCTTGATGGCACACTCAGAAAGACATTGATTACAAAAGATTTGTACAGCCCCCGTGGGATCGCTGTTGATTCAAAGAGCGGGTAAGTTTTAGGATTGCAAGTTGTATGCATATTTTTCGTTCATATTTACTTTCGTCAGTCGTTAGAATAGTGTATTAGTAGCAGCAGTAGTATTGTATCTGTTAGTTGTATTATTATTAGTTTTGTCCTTATTAGTAATATCGTTGTTGTTAAAAGTTAACTCCTGTTTAAATAGGTTGTTATATTGTTAGTGTTGTAAGCAATGTTGATTGGTTTTGTAATTTGTAATTTGTAAGTTGTGATAGTGATGTAAGTAACTTTAGGAGCTGTAAAATTTTGCATTAAGTGTAGTATCGCAATTAAAAAAAAAGTTATAGGCATCCATTTCATTGTAATGCAGTGTTGTACATGTTACCTGAACTGAAATGGTTAAAATACCTTAACGTAATTAGCGAATAAAGACCACCGTTTCTTTGTCTTTGTACTCTGATAAAGACCATAGCAAGCCTTCTTCTTCCCGAGTTGGCGTAGAGATAATCCGAGCCACAGTCCAAGGCTCTATCAGCCATTCCACATGCTATGATCTTTCAGATTATAAGGACAAAAACAGTGTTTTAAATGTTGTATCAAACTGCTATGTACACTGTAACAGGGTGAATGCTTTGGATTGCATTGTTTTACCTGTTTATTAAATTCACTGTGTTGCCTTGTACATGCAGTGCATTGCAATGCAGTGTATTGCGGGGTGTTGCATTGGGTTGCATTACATTTTATTGTATCTTGTTTTGTTCAAGGTACATGTTCTGGACAGACATTGGCTTTGATTCTCCAAGAATAGAGCGAGCAGATTTAACTGGTGAAAATCGCAGGAGCTTAGTTTCCTTTGGAGTTGACTGGTATTACGCATGGTTCCCCATGAGTGTGGTCGTTGACTATAATCATGATCCTGATCGCATTATCTGGATGGATAGATACGACAATTACATTGATTACGCAGACTTAGATGGAACTAACAAGGACAGTTTGGCTCATATTACACAAAATATGCGTCCAGTTGATCTAGCTTTGTATGGTGATGTTTTATACTGGGCAGACAGGAACAGTCGCAGTATTCAGTGGTTTAACACGACACAGCCCACAGGCCTACATTTTAACTATGGTCATCTTACAGATGGTCAACTTGCGGGTGTTGTGGTATCTGATGAATCGAGACAACCAGTTGGTAAGTAGATTTCATATGATGCCATTGTACTTCTCTTTTGTTAGCTTATTATGATCACTAAGAAGTTGCAAAAAAACTATGAAGAAGCCAGCCTAAAATTCTGCTTTGAGAAATTGTTTCCGTGATGCCCAATAGTTCACATGCAATTTTCTAAGAAATTTTTAAGTAACACTGGTAGTGTAAATCCTAATTGAAGTCGCATTCATGAGTACAATTACCTATACTAGTTAGTGGGCATTTTAGATTTAGATTTCCTAAGAACCTCAAAACCCTTAAGGAACCAGGAACACTGATATCACTTATATATGCTCACTGTGCATCAGTATCCAAGGCAACTGATTGTCCAAATGTAGTTTCTGATTTCTGTAAATGCATTACTAGCTCAAGTCTTTTCTCTTAAGCTTCACCGCTGAACAGACCTCTTTGTCGTATAAACAACGGTGGGTGCAGCCATCTCTGCTTATTGGCTCCTGGTGGAGGAAGCAAGTGCGCATGTCCAAATGGAGTTGAATTATTGCCTGGAAATAAGACTTGCAGTAACGGTAATAAATGACATATATATTAGTTTGTTGAAGAGTTTTAAATGCTTGATAGGTAGTCCTTCCAATTGATGCTGTATATACATGCATGCCAACTGTATTTTGACAAACTGAAGGGCAGAAGGACAACTTACAAATGCTATATATTTACCTTGCGACGAATAGGCCATTTTACAGTTGTGTGCTCAGTTACCTGGCCTATGAATGCACACGAGGCTATAGGTGACCTTTCTTTGGTACAAACCTCTTTAGCTTCAGGACAACTGATTTACACAACAAAAGCAGTGAGGTCTGTATCAAAACAAGGAAACCTCCAGCCTCACTGCCATTCAAAGATCAGGTCACTGAGCAGACAACTGTAAAATGATCTATTAACGCCACAACCTGCTCACATCTGGCCTTGTGATTCAGTTGGCAGAGAAAGCGTTATCTTATCCGTTTAACCCACCGAGGTCTTTGAAGTTTTCTTTACCTTGCATAGTCTTATGTTTCCTTGGTTGATTTTCAACATTCCAAACTACTTGAAGGTTTTGTTTTTCTGCTTGCCAGCTTCTAATATCAGTGCTACCTGGCACAACATTGCTTTCAATCTTTTTTACTGTTACAATCAGTGGGATACTAACCTTTGTTTCACTATATGCACTGAAAACATGAAAGCTAGCAGTTTGGTTAACCAAGGTTTGCTCATCAACCCTGCATATGCAGACTTGTATTCTCTTACCACGACTTGACGGTTTACAAGTACATAAAATTACTACATGACGTGTGCACAAAGGATTTCTAGATAGCCTGCAAAAAGCCAGAAAACGATAACCTTCAACAACAGTTTTCAAATTTAAATTTCTTGTGTTGCTTTCACATGTGATATTGACTGTTATTTCTCTTTTTCAGTGACCAAGCCACAACCGCCACCAACACCTGTACCAGGTGAACTGTTTTTTATTTATTTTGATATTTTTATTCTTAGGCAATTTAAGGACGTTCACACCCATTGTTACTGCACATCCTTTCTGCGCACGAAATTCATGTCGCGACTTCAGGCCATGCCATACATCAAGCACGCGCTAAGGAGGAAATATAAGCAAGTGTGGGGCTTGGTACAGGTTGCGCTAACTTTGCCAACAATTTACTCTCTTGGATGCTCGGTGACCCCTATATTTTTTTCTGTAGATTAATTCCCTTATCTATTTTTAATTTGTCCATTTTAACAAAAGCCTGGAAAAATCTGTCTTTTTCTACTCTCGTGCGAGTGAAATTTTCTTCCAATGTGGACAGGCAAGTTAAGAGTAATTATTTATTCTTTTCTAGGCCTATTCTACCTCAGGGAACAACATCAGCTCAAAAAGTTTACTTAATATAATTAGTTGTGTTAAACTGAGTTTGTTTACCTGATCTAAATTTCACTAACATAGCTTTTTTTATAAGCTAACATCATCTCAAAATAACAAAAACCTCTAAAAACGGATGGCCTTGAATGCACCTTATCTTGAAAATGAGCGCGGTGACTCTCATTTTTGGGGGCTTTTTGGTAAAAGCCTTCTTCATGGTAAAGTTTAAAAAAAAATCTGTCCCTGGGAACATTTTGGGTGCAAACGTCCTTAAAATAAGTGGAGAGGAATGATACTAGTTTAATCAGGGCTATGGCCATAACACAGAAGTGGATGGACAACCATAAAATGGCCAGAGCGTTAAACTTCAGTGAGATGAGAGTGTTCAAAGACCTGACAAACTATTAGATCACAGTACACGCACTATTTGATCAAAGTAAAATTAATATATTACTGAGCACAAGACAATAGACCATATTTGTATTCCTGGTATTGGACTGGAACTAGCTTGCAATGGAGGCTCATGCGGGGAATATCATTAAAAAAGAGATTAGTGTCATTTGCATTTGAAAAGACTCCCTGCATTAGCCTCAGTCGCAAAGTAGTTCAAGTCCAATACTGAGAATATTATATGGAATTAAAAAAAAAGAGATTAAGGTGATTTCCGCAGAACATTCGAGCAATAATGGCAGAAATAAAGTTACCAAAAAAGCCTCATAGCATGGTAATATTTTGAATGAAGGTAAGAAGATCTTATCGAGACTTAAGCTCTCAAGCTGACCCCGCGAGAGAAAATTGAACTTGAAGTTATCCATATTTCAATAAAACGGACGTTTCACGTCAGTTGAAAACACAAGAACACGCGCATTAAGCATTCTTACGAGGTTTGACATTAAATTTCTCGAGAACGCTTTAGGATTTAATCGCTGGGTCACCTAGAAAAATGAATTACAGTGAGATGTTTTAAATAGTACTCAAAAGGTTACCGTGCTGTGAATAGATTTTTAGTCATAATAGTTGCACTTATTGCTCGAACTTTGATTGGAATCCGTCCTAATTAGGTTGATATATATATTTTTGGCAGATCTTGAAGTACGTCTTACTGGGTCAAGCTTCTCGCATGAGGGTCTTGTTGAAGTATATTATAACAACAAATGGGGAACAGTCTGTCTTGATCACTGGGGCTTGAAGGAGGCTGACGTTGTTTGTAAGATGCTCAACTTTTCTGGAGCCTTCGATGTGGGTTACTTTGGTGCAGGAAACGAATCCTTTCCCATTTGGATGGATAATGTCAAGTGTCGCGGTGATGAGCAAAGCATTGCTGCTTGTCGTCACAGAGGCTGGGGAAAACATGACTGTGACCATGATCTTGACGCAGGAGTTGTGTGCAGAAATGACTCTATTCCACCAACTGCAGGTAAACGAAAATGATTTTTGAGCAGAAAGTTGCAGATCAGTAGTAGTAGTAGTAAGTAAGTTGAACCCCGTCTTTCTTGAAAACAAAGGAGTGTCGTGTGATCGATTTAAGTTAAGCCCTCCCTTGTTTAAGTAGGAGTTCGAGATATTTTCAGCTCCTTGGGCCTTATTTTCATTAGTACTTTTGGGTCCCTCTCATAGGTCCTTATATATATCTATATACATTGCAACCTGGGAGACGTGCACTTTTTTCTATATATAAAGCACCAATATTACAAGTTGCGTAGCCAAGTAAAATCTACAGAAGATCTTAATAACTAAAACTCAGCCAGGCTGTTTCAATTACTGCACCTTCAATGTTCTTATAGAAAGGTTCTTAGAATAGAAAGATTTGCTTTTTTGCCCACGAGTTCACTATCGTAAAACGATTTGGGTTCGTTTGTTTATGTACGGTTAATAAGAAAGCGATGATTATATTCCTGAACTGTGTTCTGAGATGTCCACTGCAACAGGATCTGTACAGAAACTTTAACACTGACTTTTTTCCTGTGTTTGCAATTATAATGTACTTGGTTGATAGCTGAAATATGGCAGGTGGGCTGAAAATTGAGTGTCTATTATTGGGAATGTTTTGTTTTCTAAAATACCGATCACACTAAAACTCGTGCAACATTTTGCTGTTGGAATTAACAGCTGGAACAACCAAGCACGTACATGTAGCTATTTGCTATGATAGGATTTAATTTATTTAGCCTGGTCCCTTTTCTTTGTCCCTTGACATGGCTTAGCATGATTTCATTATTTTTTTAAGGCCCAACTCTGGCACCAGGACCCCACCCAGGTGAGTTGATGTTGATGTTCTAGTTCTTCTGTTGTTGTTGTTGCTGCTGCTGTTTTTTGCTTGGTTTGACTCAATTGGGATTTTGTTTACCTGAAATTACCGGCATCTGACTTCTATTTGTAAAAAACAATGTCTAGAGCTGATGCAAATGTTTTACGAATGATGATAATTTTTGTCTTTGCGTATTCTTCATCCAGAGTTAAAGGTTCGTTTACAGTCTGGAATGACGTCGAATCAGGGAAGAGTAGAGCTACTTCTTAATGGCACATGGGGAACGATTTGTGACGACAACTGGGGCATCGAGGAAGCAAATGTGATTTGTCGCATGCTGGGGTATTCAGAGGGAGCTTGGAGTACGCATTGCTGTGGCTGGTATGAGGGATTCACTGCACCACAGCAAATTTGGCTGGATAATGTCCATTGTGTCGGTGATGAAACAAGTATCGCAGAGTGTAGTCATGGAGGGTGGGGAAGTCACAACTGCAGGCACAGCGAAGATGTGGGAGTGGTTTGTAAGTTTACACCGGAAACAACTTCAGGTAGAATATTTCAAACTTGTTCTGAAAGTTAAAGAAAACAGCCGTTTACGTAGAATTAGCTCAACAGTTTTCAATGTAAAATGCACAAGCTCTTAAAAATGAATATTTATTTTATCACACAATCAAGCCGGCAACCAAAAAGGAAGGATTAAACATATTGGTAAAGCCTCTTAAGCCTGGTGCGTAGCGCTCTGTGCTCAACTCGGGTTTGTGTAGTACGGTGCAACTAGGAAACAAAGACACATGATACATAACTGAAGGAAAGAAAAATTGGAAAACATTTAAAACACATTTGCATGATCCAAGGAAAGTTAGCTGTATAAGACGTGACCCAGTGTCGCTATTGTGTAATATATTCAACCAAGAGAGGATGAAGGGTTCAAGAGAGTTATTCCTGCACATAGGTCTTATTCTCAAGGTAGTTAATCCCTCTCAAAATATATTTAAATTACTCCGTGCTTCAGAAATCGCAGGAGGGTCTTGAAATAGCCGATCCTGTGACAGAGATGCTACTCATCGATATTCTACACAACTTGTGTGATAAAATTCACCAGAAGAAGAATAGATACCATGTCTAAAAATAACTTGAGAGGTATAACCTTGCAAATAAGGTCTATATGGGGATTAACTCTGTTACCGTTCATTCTCACTGGATCAAATCTTTGGAAAGTAGACAACATAGAAAAGTTTGACATGACTTGATCATCCAACTCTGTCATTGATGGTGTCCTCTCTAAGATTAAGTTCATTTGCCGTTAGGGACAAGGGGATTTCTTACAGGGGAATCATGATATAATTATTGCTGGTATTGTAGCATTTACTGCAAGTAATCTTTCTCAGGTCAAAAATTGAGACTGGCTGATGGAGTAAGAAAAGGTGAAGGAAGAGTAGAGATATTTCATGATGGCTACTGGGGTACTGTTTGTGACGATTATTGGGATATCAAGGATGCGCAAGTGGTATGTAGGGAACTCGGGTATCCTGAAGCCATTGCTGCTCCTAAGGAAGCACTTTTTGGTGAAGGAAATGGTCACATATGGCTAAGTGATGTTCACTGCCTTGGTAACGAAAGTTCGATTGAAGATTGTGAGCATGCAGACTGGAATGCTAACAGCTACTGTTATCACTTTGAAGATGCATCGGTCATCTGCTCCAATTACACGGGAAGTTTTGGTAAGATTACGCTCTTGAGCCAGCTACTTTGTTTCTGTCCGTTTTAATAGACTTAAACATTCTTTAAGAGACTGTACATGTTGTGTAGCTATTCAAAAAAGCTTATCGGTAGTTGTTTTATTTACGCGGTTTCAAATTTGTCATCTGGCTGATTTTTTTTGCTTGGAGCAAATGAAACATATTTCATTTTTTGTAATTTGCTCACGTTATTTTAATTCGAAAACGTTTGGCACCTGATAGCTGAGGTTTGTGACACCAATACATGATTAAACAGACGAAGAGGCAATGAATTCAGATGGAAAATAGGTGATAAAAAATGCACAGAAACGAATTGGAGAACCCAACAGATCGATTGAGATCTTCTCTTTGCTTAAAAAAAATTGAGCGAACAAATTCCACGTGAATTTTAATTTGTTGAATGTGAAAAGTTCTGTATCACAATTAAAGTCTTTTATTTAACTTCTGCTAGAGTAACAATTATATACTGGGTTCATTGGTGACAATTTGTTATTATTTATGTATCAGTCAATTCAAAACTTTAACTTACTCCTGGGCAACCCCCCTGCTATACAAATGCGAGACATTTTGAATTTATAGTTGGAGAAATTCCTATCCCAGGAGGCAAAAATGCAGTTCAAATGACCCACCTTAGAGTCAGTTTTTGCCATCAAAAACCCCACCCCTCCCCCCTCCACCGGGACACTTAGGCGAAAAACAAGTTGTTAAAACAATCACCCTTGAATAACCACTTTGATCTACAACATGTACAAAGAACGGTGTTGTCTCTTGATGCCTTCTGCGATGCTTCATCATGATCTCGAGGTAACTTGTTCAAACCCTACCCAACCCCTTCCATATGGTACCAAATTCCCCACCTAAATATCAACCACTGATGTCAAATTTCATCTCCTGGGTTACAACGACTGGTCAAATGATCAATGCATTGTGCTATACAACCTGAATTCTTGAAAAATATCAACATCGATCCTGAAAACATTTGAAACAATCTGTTCTGTACACCTGGTTCGCTACCTTCAAAGTACTATAAAAAGACAACTGGAACTAATTTAAATCATTATTTACATGTTATTGCAGATGCTGACAATTTTGTGATATTTTGTGAATCTGGTCGAACACTGTGCCACTTCATGCCTCTCCCCCATGATTCTCCAGCAAAGGTAATCCCACTGAAGGTTGCATTTGAGTATGCTCCAGCAGCGATATCCTACGATCCAAAAGAGAAACAGATTTACTGGACTGATGATTATGGAAACATCTATCGATCTTTCTTAATTAATGGATCAGAAGAAGCTGTGGTAAGGGGCGTGAGTTCTCCAATGGGTATTGAAGTAGATGTTATTGGAAGGAACGTCTACTTCGCTGACAGTTATGACAATAACATCAGAGTTGCCTCTCTTGACGGCCGTTATCAAGCTATCCTTGTCGACGTGCAGAATCCTCAAAGCATTGCTTTGGACAGTGTTGATGGGTAAGGCTTAGTCAATTGTGTATCAGGCATGTATTATTACCTTGTTGCTGATATTAAACTGAAAAGACTCAAACTAGTTCCTTACCATTCTTTGTGTTGACGCTATCTCATTACACTATAATACTAATAATTATAATGATGATGATGATGATGATGATGATAGTAATAGTAATATTAATAATAATGATAATAATAATAATAGTATTTTATTGTTTTGTTTTTTTTGTGATACACAGGTACATGTATTATTCATCGCTTGGGGATAGTCTTCAAATACACAGAGCAGATATGGACGGCAAAAACCAAATGCTCCTGGCAAATTTGTCATTCGTTGGAGATGATACATTGGTTGACGTGGTTCTTGATAAGCTCAACAACCGTCTATTCTTTTCCGACCAAACCAATGATGTGATACGGTATATTAATCTGGCCAATATGGAGATTCGCACTATCCTTTCTGGAAACCTTCACAAACCAACAAGTCTAGCGCTGCTTAAAGACACTCTTTATTGGACTGCTGAGGGTGATGGCACGTTTTCAGGAGCCGTCTTTAAAGCAAACGTAACGGCTAACCCCGTTACAGCACAAACAGTGGCTGATAGTTTTGGGAAACCAAAAGGAATATATGTGTATTCCATGGAAACTGATATACCAGGTAGGATAACGTTTAGCCAAATGTATTTTTCATGTTATAGAAATAAACAAAATTTGAAACATTCCTTTACTTTATTTGTAAGGCTCAAGCTTGTCCTGTTAATTTTGGAGAGTCTGTCCCTATAGGTAAAATTTCACGTAAACCTTTGTTTCTCGTGCCTTATGTCCTTCAGATTTCATTTTGAAGAGTGTTTAATTTATGCCATTTACGTACTAATTGTCTTTATGGAGGAGTAATACGTTCTCATTTGCATTTATCTTCCAACTGGATTGATTAACTTTGTGCCAATTTAAATAATATGTCGGTAAAATAGCCGTTATCAAGTTTGTTATAAATTATAAGAAATGATAGAATTTGTTACGGGCCTGTCCACTATAATTGTACCAACAAGAGTCAACTTGCACTAGGTATAATGAGTTAGTGATTGCTTGGTGCAAAAAGACTTTAGTTGTCCCTTGTGTTTAAAATAACATTGTGGTCGATTACTTTTAATGGTGATGCAGTGATGCGAGATTATCACACAGTAAGACTATAATGAACACGAACCAAGCGTTGCCAGATGACATGTTGACACAGTTTATAAATTTGCTTTCTTTTCTTGCAGTGCAATCTGCTTGCCAGGATAATGGAGCATGTTCCCAGCTCTGCATCTTAAAACCCAATGGTCGGACTTGCAGATGTGAAGCTGGCATGAGCGTTGCAGAAGATGGAACATCTTGTACGTGTCTTATTTGTATACTGTTGTGCAACCGTAAAATGTACTTGTATACTTAGGTTTTGAAACAAATTTGGAATGAATTGTGATAAAGGTTAAGTCTGTTCATGCATGTAGGGATGGACGAAGGCAAATGGCTTATTGGCTCTGGAACTTAAGCTTGATCGACTTAAGGTGGTATTATCACTCTTGAGGGAATGGCGTTTAAATTGCTGAGTCTGTACTTATAATAGTTATATTTATGGTGGGTGTAGCACTGTCAGAGTAAATTGTCTCACCCAAGGATGGGACACATGCAAGAATTCTGGCGCAAACATGGACCTCTTGATCTGAAAGTCAAACCACCAAAAGTCCTTCAGCATGACTTTGTAAAGTCAAACCCAGTCTCCTACGCAGACGCTCTTATGGCTCATCATGCATTCCTTCCCAATGAAGTAAGCTTGCATGATGATCTTAAAGGGTGTCTGTTTAGAAGGCTAACTCAAACGCTGGAGAGACACATTTTTACGGAAACCTTAATATAATAGTCTAGTTTTGTTGAAAATTACTATGTAACTGCAGCTATAAATTAGTATAATGTTCTGCTCAGGCTCAAAGTTGTGATGTCTGGCAGACTTTCAAATTCTGTCGTCTTCTCTTTTAAAAATCGCTTTAAACTGATTGCAATTTGGTATCGTTTCAAAATATCATATTATATCTTCATCTTGATGTTCAAGGAGAATTTCGTACACGAATGAAGGTACTCAGTCATGATTTTAGCATTGCTTTTACCTAAAATGCAGGAAAAATTGCCTTATATATAACATATACATGTAACATTGTTAAACATACATGTAGAGCGGTTTTCACCTGAATGTCAATGAGTAGTTACCTTTGCATTGTGATTGGCTTATTGGCTTAAAAAACTTGCCCCTCTCTTTCAGCCAATCAGAAGTCCAAAACCAACCGTATTTCCCTCACTTACATTTCGACGGGCTTACACGAAATTCCTCTTCTCATGTTGAAAAGTATTTCAATCGTTCCCTGTGCTCATTCGTGAAAAATTTTTCGACACTCGAAGAGAAATTTTAAATGTCCTTGCAGTCATGCAATGGATTATTAATTTATTATGTAAACACCAGTGAAATACCAAATCATTTCACTTTTGATGCGAAAGGCATGATTTATTATGTAACCATAGCAACGGTGATCTTTTCACTTGTGAAGATAACAGGTCGTCGCAATCAGCAAAGATTAGAGGTTTCGATCGTCCTGTTAAAGAGAGGGATGATTTGTTTCTTCTTCAACATAGTAATTGCCTTGGCATTTCTTGCAGGTATTGTTGACGATGTGATATTTGTTGCGGATGCTAATCACGATGAAATATATTTGTCACCACTATCGGGAAATATTCTCTCTCCCCTCCCATTTTCCAATATTGAGAGTCCAATGAATGTAGCGTTTGATCCATTCGAAGAACGTGTGTATTGGACTGATTACACACTTGGTACTGTTTACCGGTCTACAACGGACGGTATGAACCAGGCGATCATTCGTTCCAATGTCACAGCACCCCGGGGCATCGATTTAGATCTTGTGGCGGGAAATGTATACTGGATAAACAGTGGTGATAGGACCATCGAAGTTTCAGACTTGAGTGGCGAATATTGGAAAGTACTAGTTTACAATTTGTCTTCAGCTCCAGTAGACATTGCTTTGGATACAACTAAAGGGTAGGAATTGGAGTCATTTTGTCATAGTCTAAGTTTATGAGTATGGTTTTGTTCTGTCAAACAAACAGTGTAAACATTTGGTGCCATGTCTTTCGGATTCATGCGCCATTTTTATTCTATTTTCGGGTTTTCTTGTTATTGTTGTTTTAATTAAAAAATTAAAATTTTGCATTTTTTGGTGTACATGTAATGTAATAATTATCACCTCTATTGTGCATCCCACCTCAATAACCAGTCAACGAACCCGTTTTCCTCAAGACTATGGTTGTAATGTGCAATAATAAAAAAGATGGAATGGTACATGCCTAAACACTAAGAAGCAGAGTACTTTTGGAGTAGCAGTGGGCTAAGGCTGGATTCTTGTTCACCGTTATGTCAGTTTCGACTCTTTCTTGATCAGTTCGCCTGGGTCCTCATGTCGAATTTGCCAACTGGGAAATAGGGCCTTAATAGGTACACAGATCAGAAGCTGAGTAGCAGCATCAATACTACATGTAATTTACCATTTGTTTACCATAATTTCCTGACCAATTGAAGCATAGCACTAAAGTGAAACATATCACACCTAGTGTATTCATCTGCTATCTGTTTATCATTTAGGGTTATGTACTGGTCGGCCGAAGGGGTTATTGAACGTGCACTACTGGATGGGTCAAACCGAAGTATAATTGCAGAGTTGGGAGTGACTTTCTATGGGGACACTATTGATGCCAGAGGCCTTACACTGGATGTGCCAATGAATCGAATCTATTTTGTGAGCTTTCACGAATATTCTCTACTTTACATCGATCTTGGTTCTGCAAATTACGTTGTCCAGACACTGATTAAGAGTTTCTGGTATTTCTATTTACCCTATGGAATTGCTGTCGATGATGAGTACGTGTACTGGACTGAACATTTTGCATATGGATATGTCTTCCGATTGAATAAGACTGCAAATGATGACTTTGTTGAGGCTTTAATTCAAGGGACATATGACCCCAGAGGAATTGCAGTTAAAAAGGGCAAATTTACGCGAGACAGTAAGTATTGCCTTTTCAGATACTAATTTACATTTTTCATAAACTCTCTCCTACTCTGTGACACTTCAATGACCACGCTAGTCAAGTGCACGGAATAAAAGTATTATTACTTGAGCTATGTATGTATGTGTGTATGGTTCAAGGTTTAATCAACCAAGAGTCAAATCAATTGCTTAAATGCAGTTATTTAACATGTTGGTCAGGGGTCCAGGTGCTGTTCTGTCCACAGACGGCTGTTGTCCTTGGTAGTACTTGGTTCAACGTTTGGCCACACTTGTAGATACCCTACTCGCCTGCCTTCTCTCAGTTGGGATTTTTAACCATGTTATGTTCATTTACATTATTTGTTTCATTGCTTGTTTCCATTGGTCCTGAAAAGCTCCTTAGGGGAAGTGGTCAACTAAGATATTTTTATTTATTTTTTTTTTTATTATTTTCTGTTTTCTTTAGCTGTACATCCCTGTATGAGTGGCACCAGTGGCTGCACTCATCTTTGTCTGAAAGTTCCATCTGGATATAAATGTGATTGTCCAACGGTTATCGAAGATGCACAGGATTGTTCCGTATCGTTTGTTACTTGGCCACCACCACCCACTACACCAACCCAGCCTCCAACAACCACACCCACAACGGAAGCTCCAACCACTCCTGACCACTGCGCGTCCAACCCTTGTGAGAATGATGCAACATGTGAAACAATCGACGACTCTTTCTCGTGTGATTGTCAGCCCTACTTTGCTGGCATAACATGTTCCCTTAACTATGGTAAGTTTAATTTGTACATATTTATGTGTGCTTTTGTTAATTTCAAACAGCATGTCAATGACGGTTTAAAAATTGTCTTGCAAAATTGTGCCGGCTATCATCTGGTACATAGCCGACTGCCTAATCAGGTGACATTCTGCAACATTGAGCAGTACAAAAGCTGTTTTGGTTACTTGTCTATTCAGGTATTTGCCTAGCTATTAAACAACATGCTCTTACGCCCTGCATATGAAGTCAGTTTCCATGCCCTGCTTTAGAAGTCGATTTTGACGCCCGGCCCTGCATACAAAGTTGTTTTCAACTCCCTGCGTTTTAAGTCAGTTTTGACGCTCTGCATTTAAAGTCAGTTTTGATGCCCTGCATTTAAATGCGGTTTTGAAACTCTGCATTTACAGTCAGTTTTGATGCCCTGCATTTAAATGCAGTTTTGAAACTCTGCATTTACAGTCGAGTGTCAATGCCCTGCATGAGAAGTCAGTTTCCTTAGAACACAGCTCCTTGCGCCATGTACCGATTGCCAGAGGACCACAGTGTAAGCAATTATATTGGACATTTGCCCCGTTAGTCGGTCAGTGGGTTTTACAGAATGAAATTACTCTTGTCTTTTGCAGAGACTGAAGTGGTCCAAATGACCATCGGTATAACTTTAGTAGAGGTGAGTCTGTTTGTAACTACATGGGTGATGGCCTTCAAAAATACAACCGACGCGTAGTTGCCGATCGCTCTAAACACGTGGCCATAGAGCGGTTTTCAATTGGATGTCTTAAAACCAAAACAAAAGTAATCAGTCTGTCCAATCAATAAGGTTGAAGACAATCCAATGAACCAGTCAAAACTCGAAGTAAATACATGTAGCCGTCCTAAAGCGCGGGAAAACGTGTGGAAGCGAGTTGTGATTGGTTTCGCCTTTACTTCTGGTTTGATGAAAAAGTGGCGCGAGTTTTAAGCCAATCGTGTAGCGTAGTAAAGCCAAACTAATAACTTTTCGCTTTTCGACACTCATTGAAAACTGCTCTATATAAAAGTTCCGAAACAATGGAAGTACGCTACACGTTACAGCACTGTTTATTGTACGTCGCTCAGTTCTTCAGTTAATAACTGTTCCCGGTACGAGCCACTCATTCTAATTATTTGTTGTGCACGTGTGGCAACAAGCAATTTAACCATCACTAGTAACACAGCTTACCAGGCACAATGGATTGTATTTTTAATGTTACTAGAGCTTGTTCAGATGTAACGCGCGTTGTGATTGGCTAATAGACGGGACCGGATTTACTTGAAATGGCATCTTAACAGGCATTTACAGCGACGTTAAAGGAGCTCAGTCACGGTATTTTGAGATATTTTGGCCAAATACAAAATTACCTTTAAATGGTAGGAAACCTGAAAATAACAGTTTAATAAGATAGAAAAACACCAAAGAGATAATGAAAAACCATAAGGGAACAAGGATGGCTAAGGATGGAGAAGATTGACACGGATTACACACGACGAATTTGAAAAATTGAGGATAAACTTTTCAATATGCGCAAACCGTGACGTAGTTCCTTTAATGCGCGACTGGCCAGTGCAAACCTTGAAACAGTTAATAAAATGTGGACGTACTGTAGACCTTATTACTTTCACATTACTTTCGTTGTGAGAAAGTTGCAAACCAAGTATATAAGATCGTTTGGCTTGTTTCTGCTAAAAATATTAAATGGAAGAGCCCTAAAGACGAAGAGAAAAAAGTAATAAAACAAACAAACTTTGGTAGATGTAAGTTCAACTCAGGCAATCAAATAACCAGCTGAATACGAAGTTACGAAATTTTTGCTAGTCCAACAGTATAAAAGTATAAAAATTGTATCTCCGCGGAAATAAGCCACATTAGGTACCATGTGACCGAGAAAGAACTGCAGCCTCCAGCCTTAATACTTACTATCTATTTGCATATCTCTAGTACAATGAAACAGTGCTCATTCTTATCATCGTGGTATCACTCAACGAAGAATGTGCGTCAAACCCAGACAAACCAGAATGCTCGACTGGTGAAAGGTTAGAATATTTACTAACTTTGTAAATTTGCCTACCCACCGACCATCGTAACTATCTTGACCACCTTACCTTCATACCACTCCTTCCTTCCCACTTACCCACCCATCTACTATACCACCTTCCGGTCTGCCCACCGCACCATACCAACCTGCCTGCCTTGCCTGCCTGCCGAACTACCCACCCTCGTACCTACTTTCCCCTCTGTTTTACCTCCCTTAACCTCCTTACCTTTATAGCTTCCCACCTACATTGTAACTACCTACCTTACGAACCTTTCAGCCTAAATAACTAATTACCCATCTACCTAGCTACCTACATACTTGCCTACATACCTGTCTACCTTGGCTACCCTACTTATTCACCTGTCTACCTGCATGTGCCTCCCTACCAGCCTCATGTTTTAGCTACTTACCTGCCTCTCGTACGTAGCTACATACTATTCTTACCTCACCCTCTACCCTTCCTTCCCTCCTTCCTTCCTTCCGTCCAAGCATTTTTATCAATCAATCATTGTTTGTTTTCCTTCCTTCATCAGATGTTTATTCAGTCAGTGATTTATTTGGTCGTACGGTCAGCCTTTAATTATGGTCTTCCTGGTTTCCTTCCTTCCTTTCTAATTCCTTCTATGCTCATTTTTCACCTTTCCCCCCTTACTATCCCATTCCAAATTTCACTCTCAAAACGGAGTAGCTTCAGCACAGTACATGTACTTTGTTGTCTGACAAAGCNTTCCTTCCTTCCTTCCTTCCTTCCTTCCTTCCTTCCTTCCTTCCTTCCTTCCTTCCTTCCTTCCTTCCATACTTAAGTTAATTTGCTTGCTCACTTCCTCAATTGTTGGGAATGACTGACTGATTTGGTGTTCATCCTTTCACTCTTTAAGTCTTGAATCTATCGTTAAACGTGCTGCAGTGGAAGGTCCTTTTAAATTTGAAGACATCAAATTGCCTACGAAACCAAAGGAGGTCGATGGCGGAATCCAAGTGGAGTATGCTGTTGTCAGAACTGCCGCGGATGGCAAACCTGTGGTAGTGCCAAGTAAATTCGTCGCTGATGTGACAGAGACCAAAGCTGATGAGATTGGAAACGAACTTGGAGGAGAGGTATTGTCAGTCAGGCAAAAACCTGTGGAAGTACCTACCAGTGCACCACAGACAGGAAAATCAAGTGGAGGTTTAGTTGCTGGGATAGTCGTAGCTTTGGTATTTATCGTCATTATTGCTGCCATCGCTGTATGGTATTTCAGGTAAGCATTATCTGAAATTTTCTCATCTCATTCCAGAACACATACAATGCATTTACAATATTCTGAACCTCAGTAGACGAAAGAATCGGGATCATTTAGCTGAGAATTTGAACGTTACTTCGAGCTAAGAACACAAATCTGTGCTGCTCAAATCAACGCTTCAGTCCCATAAGATGGTGTCGACATTTCAGTTGAGCTTAATCTGGGTGGAGGTGTACCCTATAAGTTAGGTTAAGATTTTGCTACCTCTATTTAAACAATAGAGTGTTTCTGTCGAGGAGCTATCGACTGATAGTTGCCTCGCGGAAATTTGATGCTTTTAAAAAAATATGCTAGTTTTAAGAGCATCAAATTTCCAAGGGGCGACTATCAGACTGATAATTCCGAGACGTAAACGCTCCATTGTCTTAATTATTCACTACTATATTTCTTCCGCGCGCCAGTTCAAAAATCTTGAATTATTTTCACCTTTTTCTAGATGAAAGGCGTGAACGCCTACTGTAAAATTTGAATTTGTTTTGAACTTTTTTGGCTTTCAACTTTTTTTTTTTACAAGTCTCTTTGTTTACAGAAAAAAAATTTCACGGAAAAGTACTATCCATCCGGGTATTTTCCTCGGACGGGCGCTATGGCAGAACACTTTCGCGTCACGTGATCGATTTAAATCAATACGAATCGCAGAAAATTTAATGGTGAGCTGTGAAGTGAAGTATTCTACATTTATTTTTATCACAGTCTAGTTGGGAATAACCGTAATTTAATTATTGTCATCACTTATCAGGGTAAGAAGGACTCATTCCATGAATATACCTTACGTGAAAGAGGACGACAATCGGCAGCCGAAGATTCAAACCACTGCCTTTGAAAATCCGGGATATGATAGTACTGCTGCTGCAGAGGACTATGACGACGTGGCTCCAGTGATCTTTGCCCCCTTCGAAGAACACACGGAAGCAGGCGGAGTCTCCAATCCTATTTATGCTGAAATAGGTATGGGGAGCATAAACGCAGATGGCAGTGCTGTCGAGTCTATCAGCAAGAATGACAACCTCGCTGAGGCCGCAGGAGAGCTGCCCCAAAAAGTACCTTTAGGGGAGGGGCAACAGTTAAAGGCTGATGAAGTGGAGATTGTTGTCCAGAAGGAAAAAGATACAACCGTGCGCATAGATACACCAGACCAGGAAGAGGCGCGTTACGTATCGTTAGTCTCCGTAAAGAGCAAGGAACCAAAGAATGACCAAACGGAGGTTACAGTTGAAAAGGAAGAGGGAGCTCGATATGAAACGCTTACCCAGCCGGACGCTGGCCAAACGGTGTTGGTACTGGAAGATAATAGTCCGTCCGCTGCAGAATCACAAACGTAAGGCAAAACCCTAAACGCGGCGAGGTGGTAGCATCAAATGTCCTCGCACGATAGAACTGAAATAGTTTAAAATATGCCGTACTTAAATTAGTTTTTTTTAATGGTTCTGAAGCAAGCACCTGAACCCCATTAGTTAAACTTGAAGGCGTAGTATAAGAGGTATTAAGCTTCTCTCTTAAGCTTCTCTTCCACTTGTGGAAGTTTGAACTTAGATGCTAAACGTTGTAATGCCTCTGAAGAGTTCTTACCTTCAACTTTTCATGGCTAAAGTAATTACGAAACTTTGACTGGCGAAATGTATTCTTCACTAAATTTAAGCTTTTGTGTTCCCCACATTGACTGACAGATGTAGCCCGGTTTTCCTTGGGAAGCCCTCTTTAATAGTGCGCCTTTGTATTTAAATTACTTAGTATTAGCACTACCACTATCACTACCACAACCAGTAACAGTACCACTACCACTACTGCTACCGACCGCCACAGCATTGCTCTGCAGTTGCTAGTGCTGCCGCTGCTACTGCCACCTTATTTTAACACTTAGAGTAACATGTAAGGGGTAAATTAAACAGGGACAAAATGATACTAAGATGAAGCTGGCCTTCGCACACTGAGGAGCTTTGCACTTTCTTGGGTATACAGAGAAATTCAAAGCCGTGAGTCAACGTCGTGTAGCACTAACTGTTAGCGTTCGTTTTAACCTCCTCCCATTTTGGGGAGTTTTTTTTTGATACCTTAAAAATGTGTATGCAGTATATTTGTAGCCATGTAATAGAGCTAAAGAAAGGTGCTCTCCCACCTTTGGGAATCTCAATGGAAAATGACTGGACATTGTTGGATCTTGGGATTCATGGCGGGGACTACGAAACGTGGAACATTTTCCCTTGCTGACTTTTTTGAATAAGAAGAAGCCCAGCAATGCTAAGGCCTCCCTTCGTAAGGTCAGGCCCATTCTTCACTTCGGGACCCCCGTTTGAGTATCTCTGTATCCATCTCTGTTTAGCTATTGAGTTCGTCGAAAGTAATCAAAAGTTCTTACTATAAAAAGAACGAAACATATAAACAAAAACAAAGATAAGAAAGTGGGCACACATTCTAATTGGTACTTTTCTGGGAGAGGTTGTTTCAAAGCCACTGAAAGCTTCTGTGAAATTAAACGCCAACCGAGGGTTTATTTCTCGTGTTTGAAAGCGTTAAGCTCCAGTTAGAGCTTAGTAAAGCTAAATATGTCGCAGAAATCTTTGTTTACAACTCGAAAGGGTTTAAAAACGTAGTTAAGTGCAATTAGGATGTCCCGCTGTCTTTAACTTAACTCACTGTTTTTTACGATATCTTTTATCAGTTTACGTAGTGCTAAAATGTATTGTTTAGCGTTAGTACAAAATTAGGAGTAGTTTCCTTTTTTATATTTTTTATTAAAGTAAATATAAGTTTGGTATTGATATTAACCGAATGGAATGAGAAAGGTGAGATAAAAGAGCTGCAAGGCTGTCCATGCGTCGTTCTCATTCAAACATTCACGTATACCAGCATATAGCCGAGCTTAGCTTGATAGTAGTTAATAGAGGGAATGGTTATGAAACCTGACAGAGATATTTGATGTATGTTTTTGTAGGCTATTTTAGGGGTTGACCCTGCACAAAACCTGGCAAAATACAAAGGATGGTTATGTGAGCTCAAACAACTAACCAATAGAGGCATTGCGACTATGTAATTCATGCACAGTCAGTGAACATAAAACAAAAGATGTGCAGTGTCAAGGACCTTCCAACATAAATCTTCGCCTATTTGTTTGCTTCTTTGATGTTTCCCGGGCTTGTTAACCATTTCCCTCTATTAACTATGGCTTGATAAACAAGTGTTCGTTTATAGCCAAATCGTTTGACTTCCTATTTTGTTTTGATAACAATACACGTGCAGGTTGGAAACCATACTGTACGTTACGAGGCATTTGTCAATAGCTGCCTCTCTCTTTTTATAAAGGTTTAGCAGACAAGCGTATTTTTTATTATTATTATTATTATTGTTTTACAAACGAAATCCAGATAATGAATAACCTTGAAAGTTTAGTCCAAAGTGACTCTCTACGCTTAAGAAGTGTAGTTGTACCCATTTTGAACGATAATAAAATTCATTATTCTGATAAAATCGTGTTTTTGTGCACAGAGGCGGGCATATCACCGCAGCGTAAAGTTTTTGTCATCAGGTAACCTGTAGCACGCGCTCGGGGGCGGGGGGGGAGGGTGCTCTACAAACCTTAGAGAACATCTGAATTAAAATATAACATCCTCATTCTGCTAAGGAAATTTCAGCTCTCTTAGAGTTGCTAAAGCATCTTGTCCATGTCTTCTCTTGGAGAGTACCTAAAAAAAGTGCATATGTATATGCAATAGAAACGTGAGTAATTTGTTGTGGGGGTTACATATGCGATAAGAGTTTTTCTTGAAGTTTTTTTCAACGTTTTTGTCCTTTATGGTGCTTTGCCGTCAAAGTAAGATCCTTGTAGTACACTTATTACAGTAAACGTTTTGTGATCACGGCAGATTGAATGCGCATGTGTACATGAGCAACTGTACCACAACGATGAGAAACGTAAGTTACAAAGGGCAATCATGATGCGCATGTTTTTCATTTTCTTTTTGCGCTTGTTTTTCTGTTTTTCTCTTATTTTGTTTTTGCTTGTACTTTTTTACTTGTAAGGATCAGGTTTGAAAAAGAGTAGGGAAAATAGCGTTGTTTGGTTTTAAAGTGTCGACGCGCCGCACACCCCCCACCCAAATGTTCGTGGAACACCCCCTTCCGTAAGATAGCCGACTTTGTTAGCGCGAGATGGCAAAACGCCATTACAACCAGGCTGGAGAGATATAGCAGTGCGATAGAATTCTTCGTTCTTGTAGGTTCTTGTAGCTTTCTTCAATTCAGGGTTAGCCATGAGAGGAATTCTCGCGCGTTTTGCCCTCACGTGCTAACAAACTCAAGTTATTATTATTTGTAAAAATGCCTGATGGCTGACTACCTAACTACCTATAAATTTCACGCCAGGAGGTACGAAGAGGGAGGTATATGGGCTATATAGGTATATGCGGCCCCAAAGAGTATATGATTTTTTAGCGAACATTGTCACGACACCAACTCGCGCGGGTGACGCGCGAGATGAGTGAACGTTCCCAGCATTCTCTGCAACAACAGTTCGTCCATGTTGTTGAACCGCGAAAGTTGAACGAGGCTGAAAAAAGGCAGACTAAAAGGTTAATTTGTCCTTATTCACTGTGTATTTAGTACCTTTCCTTGTAGTGCTTTCATGCTTTGTTCGTATGGAGGACTTTCTCCTTATCAGTGTACCTGTTGTATATTCAGGGAAGATCTGCGCTTGGAGCTGGAGAGCTCAGTTAGCGGGCGATTGAACTCGGATTGCAGGTAAGCTTTTTGGACAAACAAAATATATTTGATATAGTAACATTGTTGACTATATTAATATTTATTTCTTCCCCTTTTGATCGGGTTCTAGCTTGCTTCTAAGTTAGCATCGTTCTGCATGAAACATCATCNTTTCCTGAGTGTTGCCCCCCCCACCGGCGTTGTCTTCAGTATTCCCGCGAGTGTTGACCCCCCCCCCACGCACACACACGCACGCACAGCAGACAAGATCAAATAAAAAGAATGGCTATATCTGCCTTAGAAGGTGAATAATTTTATCTCAGATGAATTATTTGTCTTTAATCATAACAAGATTTTTTAGAGTAAGTTATCTGGAATTATAATATAGACAGGACCCTGCGTGGGCTTTGATTGGTCAAAAACCCATGTTTTATCAGAGTATAAAACATAGAAAAAGCATCTTTTATTGTTTTGCCTGTGTAAAATCTATATCATATAAAGCAAATGAAGAAGCCTAAGCCATGTATTACACTGTGATAAAACAAACCAGACATTTGAGAACACTCGAGAAATGTAGAAAACTCTCGCCTGCGACTCATGTTTTCTACATTTCCCTTGTGTTCTCAAATGCCCGTTGTGTTTTGTCACAATGTAATACACAGCTTAGGCTTCTTTATTTGTTAATGAGACAACACATGGCAATTAAGCTTATGTGTAAACTGCTATATGTTTTGGAAATTAATTTGTTTGCAATGCTTTCACTTGTAATGTACATGTTTGTATCAGTCAATTTGAAACTGTCACATCCCCTCCCTCTGCCCACAGGGGATGGGGTACTCCCAGAAAAATTGGGTGGGGCCACTTCTGAAAACCCTTACCATATTTAAGAGCAAAATCAATTTTTTTTTTGTTTTTTGCTACAATTTTTCCTACCCTAGTAATGCCCTGACCAAAAATGTGATACCCTATTTAAGTGCTGACCCTTACATCAATACCCCAGCTGTTTCAGACCTGACAACATTTAAGAATTTTTTTTACACTCAACATAACCAGGTGATCTGTGACGTCATTGCGGGAGCCTGGGGAAAGAAATTTTAATGCTGTATCCCATAAACCAATGCAAGCACTAATTCAATCTGTTTTCGAATCATGGCGGCTGGTCGGCTACCATGAGGGAAAGGTTTGCGACATAGAAATTGTTCCATGGAAGAGAGATATTTATTCTAAATTAGACTGAAAGTGAAAGGTCAAAAGCTTACTTACTAGGATGTCTTCTGTGAGTCAAATCCTCGTATAATTCTTTCGGATTTCGTCAGCGCTCGATTCTTTCCCGTGGGAGAGTGTTGCATTTACATGTACATTGAATCAGTGAGTACAGTTTGACGACGTACTCAGTTTTATTCTGCGGTGGAAGTGTTGTTAACAGATCTAAACAAGCTAGCTGTCCAGCTCTGAGGAGAGTCGGATCTTTCAGGATCGGATATCTTTCCTCGGGATTTCCATGGACGTGCGAACTTGGTGGGTAAGTTGCCTGTAGGCCTCCATCGNCACATGTACGGCAAACTGAATTTGAAAATTTGGTTCGAAATTTCGACAAATTTAACCTAAATTAAACGTTCCCTGGGACTCAGACAAACACCGTGGAAACTAGCTATTCCCAGGTGATCTGTGACGTCATTGCGGGAGCCTGGGGAAAGAAATTTTAATGCCGTATCCCATAAACCAACGTACGCACCAATTCAATCTGTTTTCGAATCATGGCGGCTGGTCGGCTACCATGCGGGAAGGTTTGCGACATAGAAATCGTTCCATGGAAGAGAGATATTTATTCTAAATTAGACTGAAAGTGAAAGATCAAAAGCTTACTTACTAGCATGTCTTCTGTGAGTCAAACCCTCGTATAATTCTTTCGGATTTCGTCAGCGCTCGTTTCTTTCCCGTAGGAGAGTGTTGAATTTACATGTACATTGAATCAGTGAGTACATTTTGACGACCTGCTCAGTTTTATTCTGTGGTGGAAGTGTTGTTAACAGATCTAAACAAGTCTTTCAGGACCGGATATCTTTCCTCGGGTTTTCCATGGACGTGCGAACTTGGTGGGTAAGTTGCCTGTAGTTCTCCATCGGCTGCTCGCTTCAAGGGTGGAATTTTCAGTAGCAGCTCTTTCAACTGGCTGAATTTTGACTCGCTTTGACGCATCAGTCCTACCGTAATCCGGTATGGTAGTTTGTCACTAGCCAGGATACATTGCTCTGTCC